AGTGCAACCATGCCCTGAATGATTATATTGCAGCCCTCTCGTTCAATCCTGGACCTAATTCAAATAATGTCTCTATTAGTCACATAGACACAAAAACACTGGAACAAAGGGTCTGGGTTGAAAAATACCGAAGTTACCCTTTAATGGAGAGAATAGTCAGCAGATTCATCCATTATGAAAATAATCATTGGTTGCCGTACTATACAAAATAGTTAAAATCAGCTACAGCAGTGAAATCCTACTTTACATTAGTGCAGTATCAGTTTTGCCAATGCTGACTGGCTATTGCATCGCGAATTGGTTGCTGAAGTTCTGATTTTTCACCTCTTGTGACTAAGCGTATGACACGTAATCGCCTCAGGTGGAATTTATACTCCTGCTTCGAATCAGCGCCAAAGGCTCTGTGCCAGTGTAGAGACTACACTGTAGCCTGATGTGCACCTCCCCAGAAATGTAACCTACACGTCGCGGCAATGAAGACCTCCTGTCTGTTATTGTAAGCTGAAACCATTTCCCTCAGTGGAAACAAAGCTTTTATTTACTTTAATTTCACAGATAAGAAACAATAAATTGTGAAGACAATAAAGCCTCCACAAAAATAGCATTTTAAGTCTTTGATTTTTCCTGGCTTCATATGAGCAGAGGAAATCTCAGCTTGTCTGCTAATTTATACAATGTAAAATGCCATAGGCTTGTGCTAATAACATTAGCATGTTATATTTGTTTGGAAATGTATTTAGTATAAGACAGTTGTTTTGTCGGTGAACCTTGTGAGTTGTAATGGAGCCGAATTTTAAAACGTTACCTTTGTTAAATGTTGCTGTTGTCCCTGGCTTCATATGAGTACAGGAAAAGTCCACTAGCTGCTAGGCTAATTTATACAATGTAAAATGCCATAGGCTTGTACTAAAAACATTAGCATGTTGTATTTGTGGGGAAAATGTGTCCAGATTTGTGTACTTGTGTTTGAAATTGTTTCTATTAAGCCATGTTTAATGTGTGTTTAATGTGTGTTTTGAATCAACTAAACTTTACAGCACTTCACAGAAACCTCCACCACTGACTAATGTTTTGGAGGTGTAACTGCAGACTGACACAAACACCCCACCGCACAAGTATAAATGCTCACAACGGCGTAGGCCACGTGCATAGGGTCTGCCATGCAACTATAAACCCCCCTTTACTCACTTTATTTGTGCTGCGTAATGTGCATATTTCGCATCATTTACATTGTGTCCATCACGTCCATCGTGCCACCTGGCAGAAATTTGCATTTAAACGCGTCTTAACATTGACTTTACATGTAATTCACTAGTGTAAACTGTGTTATTCCCGCCCGGTGTGAACACAACATAATAGTGGAGGTTTTTACAAACCAAACCATATCAAACAGTAAAAGCTACTTTTTGGAAACTCGCAGTCCTTCGTTCTTACAGTTTTGGACTCTCATTCGTTCAAAGAGTATAGAAAATTACAAAATGCAGATATGCAAAAACTACAAAATGTTCCCCTCTGTCTCGAGGCAGTTGTATGTCTTAATAAAAAAAGACAAAAAAGAAATTAATTTCCTCATTTTGGTGCAGGAACAGTAAAAAAGTATATCCCACAATTAAGCTTTTATGTATATAAAGATGCAGCTTAATTGGAGCATCTTTAAAAGCTACACATGGTTGGTTTTTGTTGTTGTTGTCGACTTCAGGAGGAAAAAGGATAAATGAAGAAGGTGTGGAGAGTCAAGTCCCTGGGCACATATATCTCTGAGGACCTCACATGGGCACATAACATGAACTGCCTGATCAGGAAGGCACAGCGTCGATTATATTTCCTGAGAGCTCTCGGGAACATCAACCTGTCACAACCTCTGCTGCTGTCCTTCTATCACTGTTCTGTGGAAAGTGTTCTGACTCAAGAAAGCCCTGCAGAGAGTGATAAAAGCTACACAGAAAATAGCGCACACACACACACCTACCTGCTCTGGAGGACATTTTCACCTCCCACTGTCTCCAGAAATCGACAAACATCCTGAAGGTATCACCCTGCCCACCATCTGCTTGACCTCCTGCCCCCAGAAAGACGTAATCAGACAATTAAAACACGCATCAGCAGACTGTTGAACAGTTTTTAACCCCAAAGCCATTACTACACTGAACGCTGCACTGAAATCACACAACCAGTGATATTTAATATTTATACTTACATTGTGTGCAATAACTTTATTTTTTTTATGTGCAATGATTTTAACTTATTTTATGTTCATGGCATATGTTGGCACTGCTTGTGTGCGCGTGTGTGTTTAGAGTATGAATGAATTATATCTTATCCCCTACTTTATTATTTATTTATTTATTTTATTCTGTGCATTTAATTGAATTGTATTCATTTACAATTACAATAAAAGGAATTGAACTGAATTGCTGCTGTTTCTCTTTTTTGAATTTTTGTTTTGTTTCTTTGAAAAGAAGAGGACACAGTTTGAACAGTGCCGGATTGATTCACGGTCCGCTCCGTCAGAGTCTGTGTGAGAAACAAGACAGGGGGAGGGGAGACAGAGAGAAGGTAAAGAGTATGTCAGCTGGCCACATGGTGGTGTGTGCTGTCATGTTAAAACAGTTAGCCTTTGATAGCTATTGCTGCAGCGGTCAGGGGGCAAATCACTTGTGATTTTCACTGCTGTGAACTCAATGTGTGTAGCTCGTGCGCATGTTAATGAGAATCAAAGAGACAGAGAGGGAGAAAGAGGGAGATGTTAAAGAAAATCTGTTTGTTAAAAAGTGACCAGATCTCTGTGCATTATCCTTCCATACGTTACAGCCTCAGAAACATCTTACATCATGTCCTGCTCTGAAGAATAGCCTCATAGTCGATGCTGTGTCATCAAGTTCGAGGACTGTTATCAAATCCTGTATCCACCTACTCCTGCAGCAAATTTGATATCATCCAATTGCACCATTATTAATGAGATATCTCACAAAAGTTGAAAACCAGGGATTGAGACTCTGGTATTTCATGGGCATTGTCTTTCTAAAATTTGTGTAAAATAAGCTGCAGACTGCTTATGCTGACACACAGAAGCCCTCTTCAGGCCTCATTAACACAACCAGACCGGTGTTGTAGAACTGCTGTGATTGCAGTAAACTTGTGCTGAAGTAAAAGTAAAAAATACCACAGTGTAAAAAAAAGTACTCTGTTAAAACTAAAAGCCCTGAATTTGAAATTCAACTTGAGGAAAAGTACAAATGTGTTGGCATCAAAATTGAGCATAGCGGTAGTTCAGACAGCACACGATGTCAAGCTCAGCTCACATCCCAGCTACATCAGCTGATCTCAAACACCCAATCAATTGATGGAGCAGCTGATTCATGGAAGGGTCCAGCTGATAGATCACATCATTCCTTTCTACGCAGCCAATTGGTGAATCTCATTCAAGGCTCCCTATTTAAACTGCTCTGGCCGGCCGACTGTTGCTGCTTCCTCTGTATGCTGCTTTGCAACCTGCCTCCACCCCAGCGCCTCCTTTTCATGCTGTGTCTGACTTATCAATGTCATTTCTGTTTGTCATTGATGCTGCTCTGTTCTGTTCCCGGGGGTCTTTGCTGCTGCTCTCCCTGCCTTAGGCTTTCCATGTAGGCACATGGAAGGGCAGGGAGGTTTGCTCTCTCTGCCTCAGGAGGGGCCCCAGAACAGAGCCATGCCACCAAATATAATACTGCAAATGGCAATAAGTAAAATAAGTTTTTTCGCCAAAAGTGTTTCTGACTTTAACGTACTTAGGGTAGCTTGTGAATTTCCTCCCAGGGATCAATTAAGTTTTATCTCAGTCTATAATATTACATAATAATTTATTTGTTTATTATATTTTGTATTATTAAACTGGATTACAAATAAATGTATCGGAGCAAAAGGTACAATATTTCCCTCTGAAATGTAGTGGAGTAAAGCACTCAAAGTTCTAGGGCCGTATTCACGAAGCTTCCTAATACAGAGTTGCTCCTAGTGACTAGAATTTCCCCTTAAAGTTAAGAGTAGGTCCTTGTAAAGATAAATGTTATTAACAGAGCATCTTAGACCTTAAAAGAGCTCAGAAGGTGAAAACTGTTAGGAGCAGGGAGGAGAACTTTTAAGAAGCTGAAGAGTTTCTTCAGCAGAGGAGAAAATGGTGGAAACACAAAGAGTTTGGAGAAATATTCTACAAACACTGGATGATGATGATGAGTAAATGAAACACTACAGATTAGATCCTGCAGGGATAATGTGCATGGTTTATGTTATTAGGGATACGCACACATTTCCCACCTAACACATTAATGGCATTAATAAAATGATCACAATGAGATATTTGCAAAACTGGAAAAATGCAGCAGTGCAGCAGTGATGACTTGAGTCTGTCTCAACCTTCCATCAGCAGAGTGATCACACGAACAATGTCAACACTTTCACAGTCAGCAGTTCATTTCATTTCCACTGGGTGTCCACACCTTGCAGGCTCACAAAATGGTCTGTCTGTGACAACCAATCACACCTGTTAAAAGAATGCATCGTACCTAGCAACTGGGTCAACCACACCTCCTCACTAAGGTAAAAGTTTCTGTCTCTTCCTTGCTCAGAGCTGCTCCGAGAACTTTCCTAAGCTAGGACTCCTTACTAAAAGTTTTTAGAATATGTCAGGAGTCCCCACCTGGACCAAATATGGAGTATGGACTGGTAGCTGGAGAGGTGCCAGTTCACCTCCTGGGCTAGGTAAGGCACCAAACCCCAACCCCAACCAAACCCCAACTTTAATGTATAGGCCCTGGTAGTGCATGTGTGCATATTTCAGGTGTGTGTTCTCACACTCAGGATTTGTAAAGTAAATCTTCTTCTTCTTCTTCTTCTTCTAACTTGAAACAGCTTTTTCCAGTGTTTTTACCTGTCTTAATCCCACTAAAAACCTCCTGAACAATGAACACTGAAGATACACATTTAGCTTAATGTTATACCTCTCTTAAGCCTGTGAAGGAAGTGTAACAGGTTGCATGGTCTAGTTCACCATTGTGTCACACAGAAACCAATCAGATAAGTAGGAATTTTTCTTTCCTCATACTTTGGTTGAACCAGATGAGTGTGTTTCTATTAACTGCACAGGGCAGGGCAGAACTGCATGGATAAAAAAACAGAACTCCTCCTTTTTCACACAAATGTCAGGAAGAAGTGACGAGACGTCCACACCTAAACCTGCTCGTGGTAATGTATTTGTACATTTGTGACGAAAATACGGAAGATAATTCAGTTAATCCGACGTTAAGTTACGTAACAGGGAATTCTTGAGTGTTTGTAGAAAGCGTTTGGAACTAAAAGTGCTGAGCCTGAGGACAGGCTGAACAAACACGAGCAAGTAAGTCAGCTGTCTGACAGCCGAACAAGGAATCAACAGAATGGCCTCCAGTGCATCACAGTCTGAGGTGGACTGTACCTGCCCTGTGTGCTGTGATATATTCACGGATCCTGTGCTCTTGTTGTGCGGGCACAGCTTCTGTAAGGACTGTCTTCAGCAGTGGTGGAGACAGAGTAGACTACAGACATGCCCTGTTTGTAAGGAAATATTTCCGATGGCTCAGCCTCCACGTAATCTGGCGCTGAGAAACCTGTCTGACACCTTGAGACGAAAGAGGAGTCAGAGAGCGAACTCAGGATCTGAGGAGATGTGCAGTCTGCACGGTGAGAGGCTGAGGCTCTTCTGTCAGGATGATCAACAGCTCATCTGTGTGATTTGTCGAGATTCACAAAACCATAAGAAACACAACTGCTTCCCCATCAATGAAGCAGCAGAAGCCTACAGGGTAAGCAAATATATATATTTATAAAACAAACAGAATTTTTGGTTTGATCATTTAAACCAGCTGTGCGGAACTTTTTACCATTTATAAAACTGTCCCTAGTTCGTATCACCCCCCTTGAAGATCCGCATATTTATTTGAACCCAACAGCAACAAAAAAGCCTTTCTCGGGTCGGACACAGCGGAAGTCAGCAAACCAGAATACGGCACCTGGAGGCAGAAGTAAGTCTGCACGCCCGCAGTGGCCCGCAGCCATTAAACCACAGAAGAAGAAGGAGCCGTGTTTACGAGTAGGATTTAAGAAACAGGCTAAATGACATGTAGTAGGGAGTAATGAATGATTACGGACACATTGCACACTCTTGTACAGTAGGTGGTGGTATGCACCTGGAAGTTGTTTGTGATCCGCCAATAAATNTGGGAATGTGAAAATCCTCCCAGCTGTAGTGTCAGTGAAGATAAGACAGTAGGTGTATAATGTTTTCAGTGGCTGTGGAAGAAATTTCTTAAGTTTCTAAAAAATAACCCTGATGTCACTGGGTTTACCTCAGCTTGGACTTTCAACTTATCATTTTTAACAGCCTGAATTATGGGAAATATAGGATCCACTGCAGGGTTATAGAGGGAAGACTAAATATATGAATCTGTTTTTGAAATCATGTCATTTTATGATGCACTCTGAATGTATCCACTGTCATGATTTGATTTTATATATCAGATGTTTTTAATGCAAATGAAACAGAGTTTAATCATGTAAATATCTGTGATCAGACTTATTAAAATAATAAAGACAATTTTCCTGAGTTCTGCTGTTTCTGAACTGAGGGTGTAAAGACAGACAGTGTATAAACTGAAACAGAAATCAGTCAGATAAGAAGGGTTATTTAATAACACTTTAGACTCTGGTTGCATCATAGTGAATAATTCTTCCCAGTTTACAGTGTAGTTATTTGTACTAACAGTGTACCTGAATGTACTGATTTTTGCCATGCTAAAATTGCAGTTTACAGTTAAGTTGTGTGGCAAAAATATCTCTTAGATAACTTGAAAGAAGCGGTGCAACGAAATGTGCAAATATAAACTATGCTGCTTTTCAGATAAGCTGACCTTATTCCTGGATCAGAACTGCAGAGTGGCATTCAGTAGGTGAAGTCTAGGGAAACACTGCAGTATTTCAGTGGAGTAATAATTCTAACCCCTCCCGGGCTGCTACCTTGATGTGGTGGGGGGCTTGCGTGTCTCAAAGATCCTGTGAGCTATAACGGCAAGGGCTTAAGGTCCCTGGCCGGTCTAACCAAGACGGGCAGGTCATGGGGGAGAGTCCAGACAAAAAGCAGCAATGGTCCTCCAAGTTGGGGTTTGAGTGTGGGGCCAACAACTTTACCTCGGAAAACAGCAAGTGTTACAGAAACTGCAAAATACAAACCTGGGGTCCAAACGAAGCTGCAGCCAAACCACAAGCAGTACGATGGTAGCAGAACAAAACCCACCCCGGGAATGCTGTTGCTTGTAGAAGAGTCTCCTAAGACCCCAAACTATAATCCGTCTTGGAGCATGGAATGTTCGTATCATGTACAAAACATCAAAGACAGCACAAGTCATCAGAGAAATGCAAAACTACAAGTTGCACGTACTTGGTGTGAGCGAGTGCCAATGGACTGGTTCAGGATGCAAGGTGACAAAAGACGGCCCAACTATCCTTTACTCTGGAAAAAATGCTGTACAGTCCAGTGGTGTCGCCCTTATTGTGAGCAAGGAGACATCCAAATCTCTCACTGAGTGGGAACCCATCAGTGACAGACATCAGTGACAGCAAGACTTGACTCCAGATACTGTAAACTGACCATCTTACAGTGTTATACCCCTACAAACGAGGCAGAGGAGGAAGACGAGGGCGACTGGTACGAACAGCTACAACGTGAGGTCTCCAAAGTCCCACAACACAACTTGCTACTGATAATGAGAGATCTGAATGCAAAAGTAGTAAGTGATAACATCGGGAGAGAAGATGTAATGGGGTGGCACGGCTGTGGAACCATCAACGACAATGGAGAGAGGCTTGTCGAATTTTGCCTGAACAACAGATGCAAAATAGATGGAACCATCTTCCAACACAAAGACATCCATAAATTAAGCTGGAGATCCACAGATGGGCATACTGTCAGTCAGATTGACCACGTCATCGTCAACAAGAAATGGCAACGATCTCTCCTGGATGTCAAAGTTCATCGTGGGGCGGATGTTGGCAGTGACCACTATCTTGTGATAGCCAAGGTCAGGTTAAAACTACGAGCAACACCTAGTATCAAACAACAACCGTGCAAAGTGCTTAACATCAACAAGCTTCTTGCGCCATAAGTCCAGAAAGTGTTCAGCATCAAGCTTAGAAACCGCTTCAAGACTCTTGATGAAGGTGGAGAAGGAAATGGCAAAAAGAAAGAAGGTAAGAACAATGTTTAGAGAACGTGGGGCAACATAACAAAAGCATATAAGGAAACAGCAGAGATTGTCTCAGGCTTTAGAAAGAAAGGAGATAAATGATGGATAACACCTGAGACATGGACAAAAATAAGTGAGAGAAGGAAAGCCAAAGACAAACTACTGAGTGCAAAGTCACCTAGACTAACTGAACGTGCAAAAGAGGAATATTGGGCGAAAGACATGGAAGTCAAGAGGAGTGCCCAGAGGGATAAGAGAGCCTTTATGGAGAAACTGGCATGTGAATCAGAGATGGCAGCAGCTAAGGGACAACTCGGTACAGTGTATAAGATCACAAAACAGCTAAGTGGTCGAAGGAACATCTGCAATAAATTAGTTAAGGATAAACAAGGAAGACCGTTAACAACTGAAAGGGGACAAGCTGTAAGATGGGCCCAACATTTTGAAGAAGTGCTTAACCAACCAGAACCTGAAGAGCCTGTAGCTCCAGAACCTCTGGATAACATAGACGTGAACACCAACCCTCCATCCCATGCTGAAGTAGAAGCAGCAATCGAAATGAAGAAGGCCCCTGGAATTGATTTGCTGCAGGCAGAACTACTTATGCCAGATATCACCACAGCCTCCAGGGTTTTGACTGAGCTCTTTGCTAAGATCTGGGAGCAAAATGTCATTACAAAGGATTGGAGCAAGGGTCTCATATGCAGGCTTCCTGAGAAAGGAAATCTGAAGAATTGTAACAACTGGCAAGGCATAACACTTCTCTCCGTCCGTAGCAAGATCTGCTGCAGAGTTCTCTTTGAGAGATTGGAAAATGCCATAGATTCCAAGCTTAGAGAAGAACAGGCTGGATTCCGTAAAGGTCGAGGATGCATAGACCTGGGGCCTCATGTACAAAGACTTGCGTGGATTTCCTACTGAAACATGGCGTACGCTTAAATCCAGAAAACGTCGTACGCATAAAAATATCCAGATGTATGAATCTGTGCATACACATGAATCCAAGCACATTTCCTTTGTACATCCCAATCAACGTGGAATTGAGCGCACATGTTGGAGTACCCGGCCCCTCCCTGTCCACGCCCCTATTTAAATATGCAAATCATATTTAAATGAATCCTGCACCTAAAATTCCCCTCTCTGCACGATCAGAAAACTAAAAAGAATGAGTAAGGCGGGAAAAAAGAAAAACTTCACAGAATGCGAATTGGAGACGCTCACTGAAGTGGAGGCGCACAAAAATGTACTTTTTGGCACGCTGTCCACCGGCATCAATACAAAAAGCAAGGTGAGTGAGTGGGAGAGTGTGTGTGAGGCTGTCAATGCTGTGGGGACAGAAAAGCGTACCCACGCAGAATTAAAAAAGAAGTGGTCCGACATTAAGGTGGACGTGAAGCGGAGGAGGGCTGCCCACCGCCAAAGTGTGGCTAAAACAGGCGGAGGGACAGGAGAGGAGGAGCTCACCCCATTTGAACAGAGAGTCGCCTGGGGTCAGTTGAAAGCAGACAAATAATTATGTGAACTGGATTTACAGTTTCCATGTGTTAATTTTATACACCACTTACACGGATCACACACTATTGTTGTAAATAAATGCAGAAGAGCACCGGGGAAAAGGTGTGGCTGATTAAGAAATGTCACACTTTACGCACGGGTTTATTAACATGAGTACTTTACACACAAAGACAATCAGGGGCTTGTTAGAAAGCTCTGAAGCTGTAGTTTAACCAGCAAAAAACAGCAAGTCACTAACTTTAACCACTGACTAGTACTGATGCTGTGAAGACAGGATAATATTTGGGGGTGCACATGCTCAGTGCGCATCGGGGGATTAATATTAGGACAATTAAACAAATAAATTACTTACCAAGAAGGCACCCGTCGCGCACAGTGCCAGCTTGTAGTCTGTTCCCAGCCATGCTGTTACTCAGAATGTATGAATCGTGCGTTAAACCAGGCCACCTCGCCACAATGTTGATTAATTGCAATTGCGCATCACATATGATCTGTACATTGATCGAATGAAAATGCTTCCTGTTGACATAAACAAATTCATCCTGTGATTGTGCTTTTATACTGTAGTCATGTGTGTGTGCAGTCGATAGCTCCAATAACGTTAGGAAAACTGGCTGTCGTTGCAAATTGCGCTTTAATGTTGGCCTGTTCAGCTATGGGAATTTGATATACCTGGCTGACATGCGGATACTTCCGTCCCACACAGCTGGCATGGCTCGGCTCAGGTTCGACTGGCACAGTCCCGATCGGTCGGCCAGCTCCCTCTGGAATGCCCCTGGAGCTAAGAACCCCAATGTGGTCAGAACCTGTATGGATACAGGCAGCGCATGGCTCCTCGCCGTGTCGCGCTGCCAGCTGTAGCTCTGCGCACAGTTCCAGGAGGATAGGCCTCAGGAACCTAAAGCAGCTGATGAGCCAGTGCCATCTGTCTCTGAACACACGCTCTCTTCGTATTGCGCCATTTACAAATCTTCTACTACTGCTAAAGCAGCCGTTGTTGTTAACGGTATTTGCGGCACCACTTTGCGCATGCTTTTATATCCACTCAT